TGTATTCATTCAACACACTTGGAGAGAAATAGAGACTTGGAAAAAGAAATAGCAAACAGAAGTGCACATGTTCAGTTGGGAACGTGATTCCTAGTCTCTGAGAAGTTGTAAAATCCTGCTGTTATTTGGTGGATTCTGTGAAATAGGACTGACGCACTGCATATTTTCTAAAAGAAAAGAGGTGAGTTAACTTATTTTCATTTTAAGGTTTGGAAGCACTCCTTGAATTAACTAGAGATGCCAGGAGTATGAACAGCCAGGCTGAGATTTACTTACTTAAGAAGCTGAAAACCAACAGGCAAGGCCTTGTATATATCAGTCTACACTCAGGCATGACTTTTAGCATGACTTATAAAGTGATTTCTGCCTCTTAAATAAATAAATTGTTGTTTGTTGCCATTGAGTCAACTCATGGTGACCTCATGTGTGCAGAGTAAAACTGTGCTCCATAGGGTTTCAACGCTGTGACGTTTTGGAAGCAGAATGCCAGCCTATCTTCCGAGGTGCCTCTGGGTGGGTTTGAACCGCCAACGTTTTGGTTAGTCGTTGAGTGCTTACCTTTTGCACCACCCAGGGACTTCTCTTAAATAAATAGGTATAAATAAATCAAAAGGGACCAAGAAAAAGAATAAAAACTATTTAGAAAATACTGACACACCCACTGTTTACAGAAGACAAGGGAAGGTGTGTGTCTAATTGTGTGCCATTCTGGCTCTTAGTACCCAGAGCAAATAAGATTCTCTACTAAAATAAGGTGGCTCTTTTCTAAATACTATCTGCTTATCAACAGTTCTAACTAGAACTAATAGCAGAGGTAAAGAAAAGAATCTGAAAAACAGGCAATATGCAAAGCTTCTTTCAACATAACCGTTCAACGTCAAATCCATATTCCATTTTCTTAGTGATTAATTCAAAATGAACATCCAGCTCCTGATGTTTTAACTGATGTATTCTCTCAATCTTTTATTTACTCTCCATACTTCTAAAACACGGTAACTTTTAGTGCCAGCTGATCATCTTATTGATATTCCCTGTGTTGCGGTCACTGGTACATGCATAGATGAAAAACAGTTTTAGCTATCTCAAAATCAGGATACTGAAATATTTTCTTCATGCTTTCAGGCTAACGAGCAATGACAGGTATTCAAAGCATCAAGCTGTCACCACTGTGACTTCTGCTGTCGTCTGCATCATAATCCGTTTCTTAGTAACACTTGGTCTGAGCAGCAGTAATAGAATTAATTATACTTCATTTTGCTGCCTTTAACAGTATTGACCAAATTTAAGAACAAATGAGAAGTGCTTATCAAGCTTGAAGAAAACAATCCATCAGTGGCACAATTTAAATTCTCTGCAGTTCTCTTATTAATCAAAGTAACACTTACTATCCTATCTCCACTTCCCATTAACAGTCATTAAGCCCTGCTGCTGATTGAAGCAATTTCTTTAGGAATCTCAACCTCATTTTTAAGAGAACCTTCTTCAGTGGAAAACAATATCATACAAGTGCAGCGACTTAAAAGAGAGTAGGAAGGTTCTTCAATCATGTTCTGACCTTGATATTTCTCAATGGTGTAAGTTCACAGAAGTACACAACTGCAAGATTGGAAACTTCAGAGAGTGGAGCGCCGCTCTTGTCTCATCAGCAAAGGGAGGCACCAATCCAACAAGCAAGGCGTAGACTTGGGTTAAACACCTAACCAGCCCCTCCGAGCTTTATTTTTTCACTCACAGTGTTAGATGCATCTCAGAAACAAAGAACACATTCACCCTTCAGCCAAAGACTAGACAGGCCTATAAAACAAACCGTAACACACATAGTTGAACCATGTAGCCGAGACTAACTGGGCACACCAGCCCAGGGGCAAGGATGAGAAGGCAGGAGGCGACAGAAAAGCTGGACAAAAGTAAATGGGAAACCCAAGGTTGAGAAGGGGAGAGCGTTGACACATGGCGGGGTTAGCAACCAATGTCACAAAACAATACGTGTATTAATTGTTTAATGAGAAACTAATTTGCTTTGTAAACTTTCACCTAAAGCATAAAAAAAAAGAGAGAGGGACAAAAAAAAAAAAAAAAGAAGAAGAAGAAGAAGCAGAAGAAACAAGGAACACAGGTAAAACTTTATAGCAAATTTATAGGAAGGATTTGCCAGGAATAAAACCAGTTGCCACTGAGTCACTTCTGACTTGTGGTGACTCCATGTGTGTCAGAGTAGAACTATGCTTCTTTGGGTTTTCAATGGCTGATTTTTTGGAAGTAGATAGTCAGGCTTTTCTTCCAAGGTCCCTCTGGGTGAACTTGAACCTCCAATTTTTCGGTTAGCAGCTGAGTTTGCACCACCCAAGGTCTCCAAACCCGTGGCCACGGGGTACCTTTGTCTTAGTGTGTGCTTCACACTAGGTGGGAGGCAGGAGCAAGAGGTCTGAAGTCAGAAGACTGGGGTTTGAGGTGGTACTCAACACTTCTAGCCCATGGAAAATTGGGCAACTTGTCTAACTTTTCTGTCTCCATTATTTTCTGAAACGGAAGCAGTAATACCATCTGCTCTGCTTACCTCTCCAAATTGTTGTGGAAATCACATGAGAAAATGCATGTGAATGTCCACTGAAAATTGTTAAACACCCTGGTGGCACAGTGGTTAAGAGCTACAGCCCCTAACCAAAAGGTCGGCAGTTAGAATCCACCAGGTGCTACTTGGGAACCGTATGGAGGCAGTTCTACTCTGTCCTTCCAGGTCACTATGAGTCGGAATTGACTCGACCTCAACGGGTTTAACAGGTTTTATACAAGTGTTAACTACTGACGATGAGAGCCTTTGAAGTCACGGACAGTGTTTCATGCAACTCCTTCCCCAGGTCCTTGCATGATGCTGACACACAGAAGGTTCCAATAAGTGTTGAATTAATGCCAGAGAAACCCTATTTCTAAAACTGAGAATAAGATAATCCACATGATTAAAGTAGAGTATGGTACAGAAAGTAGGGTACAGAAAAATACCTGTAAAATGTGTGGAGTGGAAGGAGCCATGGACCTACAAAATACAACACTCCTGGGCGCTGGGTAAACACAAAACAGTGTAAGAGTCGGGGGAATTTGCAGGGCAATGCCTTGGGGGCTGAAAAGAGTTCTGAGATGGATATAATTGAGGAGACCGTGATCTTAAGAGGAAAAAAACCAGAAAACATCAATTATTAGCAAGGTAAAGCAACACCCACCTGGCAATTTGGTCATGCTAGCAAAGACAGTAGTGCTGGACAGTTCCCATCACAAAGTGCCCCCTGCCTTCTGCCCCTCGGGGTTTAATGTTAGCACCCTTGACAGCAGCTTCAGCAGCCAAGCTGTTAATAGTCAGGTCACCAAGTTTTAAGGCAAAGGAAAATCACGTATCAGGATAGGGGCTGGACATGGGAATTAGGACCTGGGACTGTCTCTTATCTGTGCCACCAGCTTAGTGTGTAAAGGCATTTAAGACTCTGGAGTCTCATGTCCTCATCTGCCTTATTCCTTAGAAATCAATTTTGCCTTCTGGTTATTAATTGTAATTTGTTATAATCCCAATATTTACAAAAACCAAATGCAACATGGCACTGGCCATAGAATTTCAAAGTGGGAAGACACCCAGTATTCAGTCTGCTTAATCCTGTTGTTATTAGGTGCCATTGAGTTGATTTTTGACTCATAGCAACCCCATGTGACAGAGTAGAACGGTCCCAGAGGGTTTTCAAGGCTGTAATATTTAAGGAAACAGATCGCCAGGTCTTTCCTCACACAGAGCCACTGTACAGGTTCAAACCACCAATCTTTTGGTTAGCAGCTGAGGGCCTTAACTGTTGTGCCACCAGGGCTCCTTTGTTTAATCCTACTCATGAGGAAATAGGCTCAGAGAGGTCCAGTGGCTTGCTGAAGGTCACCAGCTGGGCATCATCAGCTCATCAGAAGTGTCTTCTCTTTTTTGAGCAGCTTTCTGAGATCTGTTGTCAAGCTCTTTTCTTTTGCCCAGAGCAGGCTATCTACCTATGGAGGAGACCTGGAGGGACCTCACAGGAAGGACTGCAGCACTCCTGTCCCCTTCCTATTTGCATGCTTTACACACAGAGCCCTTTGGCTTTGGGTTGGCTCAAAGATAAGGATTGCAGAGATTGGACAGGTGCAATAGATCAGTTACTTTCCTTTAACGGTCAAAGTCCCAGAAGAGATAAATCAAGACCTGGATCTGAATTTGCTTGGCCAGCATAGACATGAAGATGCCTTTCAATAGGCTATTGGGCCTGACATATAAAGACGATCTTATAATCAGTGAAGAAATGGAACCATCTCAGATTCTGATGACCACTGATGTTTCCAACTGCAAACCATGTGCCCTGCCCTTGAGATGTTCTCAGAGGCAAGAAGGGAGCAGAGTTCAGCAGGGAGTGGATTTTCTTTCCTTGAGATGAAGGGCACCACCCACCACTTAATTTCTGATAAAGACATTAAATGTATGATTCTCGTCTCTAAGAAACGAAACGCTGAGCTGGATTTTTGAATCAATGGAATACCTACTCCTGTTAAAGCACTTAAAAAGGAAAACATCTACAAAATGTCCCATTAGGCTGACAAATTTATAGCACTATGAAAAGTATGCCAGCAGTTTCAAAGCTGAATACAGCATTGTGTTTAAAGAGTATGAATGGATTTGAGTTCAGCAATATTTCATCTGCACGAACAAGTTTTCCTATCACATCCCTTCTCAATATTTCCCACATTTACTTTTAACTAGGCATACGCATGCCGTGACAAGAATATGGACATCATCTTAAAAAATAAGTTGTAAAATGAATGCTATTAAATGGACTTTCACTCGTGAAGACATGGAGATCTATTGTCATCTTGATGCTTGGGGCTGTACAGACATAAATGCCATTAGCATTAATGGTAATTATGTGCGTAAATCCCCCTGCTCTCCATGAGAATATGCTCCTTAGTTTGCAAGTACAATGACTGGCTCATTTTTGAGACTAAAAACAGCTGAGACTCTTTTTTTTTTTTTCTCCTCTAACTGGGAGAGATATCCAGGGTGGCTCAGAGCATAAAGTCTGATCACCCACTTTCCTAAAACATGCAATTCAAGCACTTTAAAACTCCTTTACCTCAGAAAAGCTGAAGATGTAGGAAAAAGCTTCACACTGCAGACTGCGTATTCCGGTAATTTGCGCCGTATCATACAGTTTCCTGTCACTTGCTAGGATGGTTACAGTATGGGAGCTATGCACCCTCATAATAAACTTGTTTTATTATGGTCTGATAACTATTGAGAATAATATTTTCCAGTCAACCCAGAAAAGGATGTTCAACTACAGTGGTAATTTGCAGAAAGTAAGCAAATCTAGCATCCTGTTCACCAAAGCTAATATATTCTACTTTTATTTAAAAAAAACAGGCAGGCAGATGACAGTGCAGGGAAAAGGTTCAAGCCTTCTCTTTTTAACTCCTAAATTAATAAGGCAGCATAACCCGAGTGTTTGGTTAGGCTTCACCTTCCTCAGTAGGGAAACAAAATAGTCCTCTTTGCCAAAAGTCAGAAGACATTAACACAGGGAGCCGCCTGCTTTATAACTTTACACACACTTCATCAGGCTAAGACAGGGCAGAGAGACACATGTAATTAAAATATACTAAAACAACAAACCGCCATTGTGGCTTTCAATTACAGTGGAGCTAAGAAGCAACCGTCTTATTTCTACAACTATTTTCACTTAGCACAGTTCAGATGGAATTATTGCCATGACCTTTTAAAAATGTGAAAGAGTGAATCAATACTCTTTCAGAGGCAAGATTGCAGGAGCAGAATTGGCCAGGCTGTAATGGTGTGTATTTCTGCATCAGAAGGCAGTTGAAACCTAATTATCGTCAATCACATACAAGGTAGCTCCACCTACTGATGAGCTCGTTGCAGTCAGCCTGCGTGTGAGGGTCTGTGCATGTGGGTCTTCAAGCGGGAGGAGCACGTGTGGTGAAGGGGGTGGGGGATCTCGGAAGCCCTCGGCAAGTGGAGTAAGGCTTACAGGTGAGTTATAGGGACCGTCACTCATTTACAATAACACTGGCCTGTCAGAAACAGCCACCTGTAAATGATATATGAGTGGCTGGCAGCCTGCCACCCCCAATAGACCTTGCAGCCAAGAATCACATTTTATTGTGGAGGTCATCGGAATGCTTACTTGGATACATGCCATTTATTATTACAAAATAACAATCAGCCAATCAGCAACATTTTTAGAGCTCAAGGGCAAAATAGCCAAACTGCTTTTGCAAACTAGGGAACAAGCATCTAAGATCCATTTTAGCAGATGATTTTTTCTTCTCTTTAATTGCTTCTCTCCAGATATAAAAAAGCAACACTCTGGAGCGGCCTGAAGGTGGTAATACAATGTCAGAGGACAGATTACAATGGATATTTACTTTTCCTAAGCTGCTTCATACATGATGCCAGAAACAAAAACAGAATCAAAAGAAAAAAAAAAACTCTTAACAATGACAATCTCATGTGCTAGACTATATACTGGCTATGAAAGTCATGGAAACCAGTTAGCCTATGAAAGTCATGGAAACCAGTTAGCCTATGAAAGTCGTGGAAGCCAGTTAGCAAGGCAAGAGAATAAAGATCTCAGGTTTGGTGTTTTCTCTCAATTGTATCATTCTGGAGTCTTCCTGAGAACTCTGAAATGATCCTACGTACCATGATGAATCTTCTGTGTGTGCAGTCAGTCTTTTCACAGGCCATCAGAAGGCCATGTCATGTTTCTAATTTTATTCAATAGCCTAAATATGGGTAGAATTTTCAATATTATGCTATTCTAACATAGGAAATACCATAATTATCAAATGCTATGGATATCAAACCATGAAGAAGTGTTTAGACAACCCCTTGCAACTTTTCTTCAAAACAAAAAGTATATTCTGTAGCCACCCAATTTCAAATTTTGTCCCATCTAGTTTGGTGTTGAAAATCTCTGTGATAATCAGTCTTCACAGTCCTGCTCCACTAGCTTGTTGCTCCCACAGAAGTGAAGGATTCGCATATTTGTTAACGTTATACAGTAATTGGACATCCTTTTGTTCAATGCTCTTAATGTTCCTAGAATAAAAACATTAAAAATGCACAAAAAAAGGAATACTCATTACCCACAAGCAATAGTTTTTAATTTAGAAAAAGAGTCTAATTGAAATTACATTTGTTATGCAGAGACTACCAATAATTATCTTGGCTTTAAATATGCAAACACCAAGATTCCTTTTCGAAAGGATGACTCTTTTCAGAAGTGGCTACTACTAGTTGAATTCAGTGATCCAGGGACCAGTGTGCGAAATCATGTGGTCCCCAGATGTACCAGATGGCCTTCCAGAGCTACTGTGGTAGAACATGTGGCTGCCAGTTTAGCGACCAAGGCTGCCATTTGATCCTTGCCCTAGCAGTAAATCATAGTGCTTGTCCTGTTGGTACAACCTCACTCACAA